ACACCCGGAGATCAGAATAAAAGCGCCTCAAAGCTTTTGGGAACTTACTGCAGCCTATTTCTTTGGGGGGCCGAGCTCAAGGACTGTTAAGGCTGTAGATTTGCAAGCCTCTGCCAAAATAAATTGGAGGAGCCCAACGCAAATTGTGTGCACTGGAGAGGCGGGCGGCCAGGGAAGGAAGGCTGCTTAGCTGCACCCCTGCTCCCGACGCCTCCTGAACGTACCTGTTTGCAAGCGATGAGTAGGGAGGTGACTCCGAGCAGCTGAAAGCAGTCTGCGGCCACAGGCGTGGTGGTAAGGAAGCGGTCCAGTGTGTTCACCGTCAGGCACAGAGACTCGAAGGACAGCCCGAATTGGCGGTGCACGGGAATCAGCCAGCTGAGAAGCTTACAGCGGGACTCCGCGGTCACCTGTGGAGAGCGAGGAAGGGAGTTGCCTAACGGAAGGGCCAAAAAGACCCAGGGTGCTTTCTCGGAGGAAAGCAGGAAAAAGCTAAACGCCCTGGAAACGGAGTAACACCGGCAACATTGCCTCAAAGACCGTTGGCCTGGCTGAGAGCTGGAGAGCCCGGTTTCATGCCTGGTGCATTGCCGAGCGAGCGTTCCGTAAACTTTGCCCCGTCACCTCCCGTAATCCTCTCAGCAATTCAACGGGAGGTGGGGGTGGAGGAGTAGTCCATTTCGCAGATGAAGAAAGAAATGTAGGATTGTTAAATAACCAGCCCGACGTCCATAAGAGTCCGGACTCACCCTGGAAACTAACTTCTCTGCACCCTGCGCGCCCCACTGTCTTGGGTCAGATCACGTAAGCTACGTACGCCCCGCTGCAAAGCGAGGCCGGCGACCTGGACCCCGAAAGCCCCTGTTGCTCTCCTTGGGGGCGGGAATTAGGTTGCACTAGCGAGGGCGCCGCGAAGGGCGGAGCGCAGGAAAGGAGAGAGCCGGGGGAGTATGAGGGGCGGCGGCGGGGGAGCCGGCTCTACCAGCGCCTCACTTGTGGCTGCCGCGCCAGCGACTCCAGCGGATGGAAGTGGCTTTCCTGAGCCTTGCGGAAGGCGTAGCAGCTCTGGCCGTAGTCGCGGAAGGTCTGTAGATCTAGTGGTGACAACTGCTGGTCAGGACTGGGCAGAGGGCTGCAGTCCCCCGCCGCCGCCGCCACCACTGGGCTGTCTGCGCCGTCCGAGCCTGAGCTGGGGGACTCGGACAGGTCGCAAACGCCTGAGTCCCCCGGGAGCAGGCACGGGCTCAGGGGCTGTAGCGGCTCCTTCCTTCTGAGGCGTGGGCGCCTGCTCTTCTTCACTGGGGCGCGAAGATTCTGGTCGTTGTCCCGCCTTTCTGACCAGGCCTCGGGGCTTGCGGGGCTGGTGGGATAGGGGGTCAACATGATGCAGCCAAGTGGCCGCTCTACTGCCCCCCCCACCCCACGCTGGGCGCAGCGAGCCACAAATGTGCACGCCCAGAGAGTTAGGAGGAGGCCGGGGCGGCTGCTGGTGCGGTCCTAAGTACTCGGCCTGCCCTTCCCTTTACCACACCCTCGGCTTCTCACTGGCTGAGGCCAGAGCGGCCCGAGAGCCGCGCTTTCTCGGGTAAAGAGCCCTCCCCTTCCTTGCTAAGAGCTGGTCTGTGTGCTACCCTGGGAGCTGCGATCTAGGCCGCGCACCGTCGCGCGTTCTGCGTTACCCTGGCAACCGGAGCCCTGGTATTGGCGCGAGCTGGGTGTTCAGAGTGGGTCCGAGTGAGGGACTCTGCTGCAACAGAAAAAAAAAAAAAAAAGGTTCTTCCGCGTGGCATCTCCCTGCTCTTGGCCAAGTGGTCTGTATGAGTGCAGTGGTCTTCTATGCAGGCTGTAACACAGGTCGGTAACTTTGTAAAGTCGCGCTAGAATTCTGTCAGCCTGGTTTTCTTCTGGAACCCGTATTAATAGTGTGAATTCATTTGCTTTTGTTTCGGTCAGTACCTTCCGCGGGTCTCAGGGGCAGAGTCTTGGCGTTGTCCTCCGGCGCTGCTCTGTAGGTAGGAGCTACCCTAGTCCCAGGCATTTGTGACTAAACAAAACTGCCCAAACCAACCTCATGCAGCAAGTTCACAATCCTCAAGGTAGCACCTTCCTCTGCACTTTTAACCCCAAGCCAAACAAACCACTTGAGTAACATTGCAGCAGGGTTGCATTTCTTGTTTTACCAAATTGCTCACAGGCTGTTCTGTTTTACATCATCTGTTTTACATCCAATACTTTCTTGGTTATTCCCTGTCTCTCAAGCAGTTTAGGGAAGCAGAGCTGAGGGCAGGGAGTTAGGAAAAATGGAGGTGTTCCCAGGCAGGGCTGTTTGAGTCCACAAACTCCTGTCCCTGTAGAGCTGAATCTTCCCCTGGCCTAAGCGAACCTTCCTGAGGGTCTCTGGCCCTTTAGAAGAAGGGATACTGGGGCACAGTGAAGATCTAGAGGACCGGGTGGGCAGTGCCTAGGGGCAGTAGGCCTAGCTATCTTCAGCCTTAACTTTTCAGGTATACTCCAAGAGGTTACTAAGTGCCACACCAGTAACAAGTCCAGCCATCCTCACCTTATCCCAGAAGAAAGCTGACAAGTGTGTGTAATCAAAGTGTAAATTTATGCCCCTAGACATTTAGTGGGGGGTGGAGTGGTGTCTCCTAGAAATGCAGGTGAAAAAAAGGCAATAGATTTCAGGTTCTGGCTACTGTAACTCCTATTTCCCTGTAACACTGAGCAAGCTCTTTATTCTCCCGACATTTATGGTATTGTCTGTAACATGGGACATTAGCTAAGAATCACCTGGGAAGGGGTTTCAAAACACAGGTGCCTGGCCTCTGTCTCCTTTTGGGTTATTCTTGGGAATATTATGGGAGAAATAATTGACTATTAGAGACCAAATATCAGATTTCTTCCCAGAAACACTTTCTGAATAAAGAGGAAAAATTGAGGAGTAATGACTCCCTGTTGTCCCAGATGGTGAGGTGGTATAGAGGAATGAGCATGAGGTCTCACTTAATGGTTATGTTAGGCGAGGTATTATTCAGTCTCCACCTTGTCTGTTAAATGTAGATATTTTATTTGCTTTCAGGGTTAAGCTAAACAGGTGTGAAAACTCAAAGTCCTTTTTTTTTTTCTCTTTTGTTTTGTGATACTGGGGATTGAACCCAAGGCCATTGCACTGAACTACATCCCCACCCCCATTTTTGGAGAAAGCTTCCAGCTTAGCCACTAAATTGCCTGGGCCAGGTTCAAACTTGCAATCAATCCTCTTGTCTCAGCTTCCCAGAATTCTGAGATTACAGGCATGTGTACCATACCAGTTTAAAGTCCCTCATAAATGTAAAAATAGTGGGGGTACCTTACAGTCTACATTGGGAAGTCAGTGATATTATTGAACTGGAGATATTTTGCAAGCAGTATCATCATTTGATCCACCTGTGGATGTGAGGCTTTCATTGTACCATGTTGAAAATACTTGGTTCTCTGAGAGAATTTGCCTTAGTGTCTAATCCCAATAGGTGCTGGCTGAATTAGCTTGCTGGATCTATCCTTAGTGTTTGTGAAGTGCCTTGCATGGGCCCTGCCCTCAAGCATCTGACAGAAGTAGGGAGAAACAAAGGACCACTTGTAGTTAAGTGGTAACTTGGTTCGTGAGCTTAACTCTTCCCATGATTCTGGTTGCAAACAAAATTGGATGAAAATCAAATCAAATTTCCCCATAAGGTCAACATTGAACCTAACCATTAAATTTGATTAGTTCTTGTCCAATTCAGTTTATGACCAGAATTGTGGAAAAAATTAAGTTCATGAACCGAGGTAGTACTGTACTTAAATTATTGAAGTATTAGAAAGGTGATGATAGAGGATCTCCTGTGTTTAGGATTGACAGAGAAAATGCAGGATATCTGTTGAAATTTGAATGGCAGATAGACAATTTTTTAGTGTAAGTATGTCCCAAATATTGCACGGGACATGTAAGAAAAAAATTACTTAGCATTTATTCAAAATCCAAATACTGCATGGGACATACTTGTGCCCTGTACTTAAACAAGTTGTTTGTTTTTTATCTGATATTCAAATTTATGTGGACATCCCGACATCTGGCAGCCCTACCTGAGGTCCCTGAAAGCCCACAGTAAGAGCAGCTATCATAATAAGGAAAGGCTTCCCAAAGCAAGTGGTGGTTAAACTAAGATAAGCAGGAAGACAGAAAGAAGAGAGGAGGAACATTTGGATGAGAGTGTTCCATATTGAGGACCAGAAGGTGGGAGGAGCTGGAAGCAGATACCTGGGAAGTTGCAGGTCTTGTATCAGTGCCCATTTGATGCTGAATGGCTAGAAGGGAAGTAGGGAGGATCATAGCTAGTATTTATATAAAATTGATGTGCCACATACTGTGTTATGCTTTTTATTATATTCATTCATTCTCCACAATGCCCTGTATCATAGCTTCTGTCATTGTCTCCATTTTTTAGATAAGCCAGAAGAACAGCATAGAGCGGTAAATTGCCCAAGATCACAAAGCTAGTAAGCGGTAGAACAAGGATTTAAACTTAGCCTAGCTCCTTGCTCTGTAGTTGCCATGATATACTCCTTCAATAACAAGTTTATGTCGTGACTTGTAAACTACATTAAGTGTTTCAGTTATCTGAAGTCACTGAAGAAGACTGACCAAGGGGGACAGCGGACATGTCTCTTATTTCAAAGATTACTTTGGCTGGTGTGTGGAAATGGGCTGGAGGGGACAAAGTTGGAGGCCAGTAAGGTACGATTCAAGCAAGACATGATGGTGGGAATGAAGATGGAGATAAGAGATTAGATTCCAAAGATATTTAGCAGACAGACTAAAAGGGGGGGGGTCTCTGTAGAAAGTGAGGAGAGAGCAAAGACTCAGTGTGACTTATGCTCCTGGGCAAATAAGTGAATGGTGATTAAAACAATGAAAACTCTGTAGATCTAAGTAAGGTTTTAAAACTGTGTATGTTTCAGGACTGAGGATTTGGCTCAATGCTGAGGTTGTCTGCTTTGCAAGGGCAAGGTCCTGAGTTTAATCTCCGGTGCCAATAGAAATAAAAAAAATAAAACTGCATGTTTCCATTCAGCTAAGTCTTTAAAGGCAGAACTCAATCAGGATCTAAGAATTAAGGGACACACTGTTATGTAAGTATAATACCAGTTGCAACATTTTGTTCTCAGTTGTTGCATAGATGAAACAATTCCAAATATTTTGATTTAATTCATTAAAATATTTATGCACTCAATACAAGCTTATGCTTTGTGGAATTTGGCAAAAACATAAAGCTTTTCTAACTTAGTGTAGCATTTGAGTCAAATAATTTTTTTTTTTTTTGGTAATTCAGTGGATGGTTTTTATGTTTGTTTGTTTGTTTTCTAATTCAGAGGTGGGCAAAACTTCATTTCCAACTGATTTAACTTGGATATAAAAACACCTTATAATTGCCTTCAAAGCTGAGGGCTACATTTTTCTTTTCTTTTTTTTTCCCCATACACCAGAGATTGAACTCAGGACCTTGCGCTTGTGAGGCAGGTGTGTTGCCACTGAGCTAAATCCCTGTCCCCTACATTTTTCATTTTGTACTCCTGTCCACTGCTTCCAAGAAGAGCTTCCCTGTGCCATATTTCTCTAACATTTGGGGTTTCTGCAACTTTATAGAGTAAAAAAGCAAAGAATCCTTGGCATTTCTCCATTGCAGTATCTAGCATAATATTCTCACTTCTGTACCTCTATCCTCTTAATTATAACTTGTGTCATTAGTAAAAGCAATGTTTCCTTTTACTTATTCATTCACTTGTTTGTCAAATATTTATTGTTTACTATGTGCCAGGCAATTTCCTGGGTGCCAGGAATATAGCAGTGAATAGAACAAACCGAAATTTTTGTCCTTATAAAGCTTGTTTTAGCTTATGCTTAGTATAATCAAGTAATATTTAAATAAAGTGTTAAATATTGTATTTAGTACATTAGGTGGTGAAAGAGCTGAGAAAAATAAAGCAGGAAAGGGAAAATAGAAACTGTAGGGCATATGGATTATAGAATTTTTTTTTTTTTTTGAGACAGGGTCTCACTATGCACTGTAGGCTGGCCTTGAACTCAGTATATATCACAGACTGGCTTTAAACTCTTGGTGATCCTCCTGCCTCAGCCTCTCAAATGCTGGGATTATAGGTGTGCACCACGACACCCAACAAGGATTATAGGGATTTTAAGTAGAGAGATCACAAAAAGCCTCACTGAATCATTGATACTTAAACAAAGACTTGAAGGAGTTGAGGGAGAGTCATGCATGTATCTGGATAAAAGTGTTCCTGGAGCAGAGTAAGGGGTGATGGTAATAAGAAACAAGAACAGAGTGGGCCAAGGATTTAGCTCAGTGGTGCTGCTGCCTGCCTCGCAAACACCAGGACCCAAATTCGATCTGCAGTAAAAACAAAAAACAAGTTTCCAGGCTGGGTATGGCGGTGCACGCCTATAATCCCAGTACTGAGGAAGCTGAAGCAGGAGGATTGCTGTGAGTTTGAGACCAGCCTGGGCTACACAGTGAGTTCCAGAGTAATCTAAACTACATAGTGAGACCCTGTCTCAAAAAACCAAAAAACCCC